ATCAAATTGTTTTAATACGTCATCCACCGTTTTATACTCTCCAGAAAACTGTTCATATATTTCTCGGCATTTTTCACCTATAATGTGTAACAGTATGTTAATTTGTACTCTCTTCTCTTTTTTATTCAATTCGCAGGCCTCAAAATATACTAAAAAAGCCTTTTTCCATTTCTCCCATTCTTTGCTTACGTTTCCCGATGTGACGTTTAGTAGATTATTCTCGAATCGAAACGGTTGAGGCGGTTGTAATATGGCTTCCATATTTCACAATTAATTATCTGTCCCACACAATAATCACTGTTGTCTGCGTTACTATATTGTAAGAACAACTAATATAGACACTTAACTTTATGTTATTATTCCGACTGCGCCATGTTATGTATGTTTTTATGTATATAATAATATAGGATACAAAGAGGACGTGACTCAAAGACCAGTTGCTAGTTGGGACTGCCTTTATTGTTGATTCAGCCTACCCGACATTTACTTTATAATATATTTTATAATAATGCATAATTACCTACAATACCAGGACTGAGATCTACCACCGACAGGTACCTGGGAATTTGGAATAAACATCTCCATTTCCTGAAGTGCTACATCGGTGACAGATTCAGCTATTGCATCAGGATCGTCCAGTGCGAAGCAAACTCGCCCCCATGGGTAAGATGCAAAAAACTTCGCATCTCATCCCAATCTGCCGACTTAAAATGCCAAACACGACGTCGACCAGTAGATCGTGGCAAAGAAGGACGCGTGAGAAGCACTTTGCTCCGTATCAGACAATGATCAGAGGATCCCAGTGGGGCTTCCACAGAGACCTTCTGCTGACTTCTCATCCGGACGTATATCAGCCGTCCGGATGTGAAGTCAGCAGAAGGTCCAACAGTGAAGGTATATGGTCAACAACATCAGGAATTCTTGTAGGCGAGGATACCAGTTGCGTCAAACCATACGCCAAAGCAAAGCCATAAACAGATCTCCCCGCATAGTTGGTGGTACGTGAACCGAGCCATTCAGCGTGATGGGCGTTGAAGTCACCTAGAATCACGACCTCAGCGGAGGGAATCTGTTGGAGCAAAAAATCTGTAGCCATTTGGACGTGTTCAATGAGTCGGTCAGTTTCGGTGTTACCGCTATGGGGCCTGTATAAGCATGCATAGATGCGGGGGTGGTCATTGCAATCTACACGCAACCATAAAATGGACAGGTCAGTACCTTCAAGTGTACCAAGACGGCGACAACAAATATCCTCTCTGACATAAGCGCAAACACCGGCCCGTGGAATAAAATGGTGTTCCAATTTATATCCAGGGTAGGTCAGGTACGAAATTTCGTCGGGACAGGATATTTGCGTCTCCGTAAGGAAGAGCAAAGCCGGCTTCGCCGTCTCTAGGTGGTGGTGAACGGCGTTGAGATTGGAATGAATTCCCCTGATGTTGCAAAAACTGACTATGAGCAAGGGAAACGCCGATGGAGATTTGCTCGGTTTCCTTTTGGCCAAATTGAGCGGAGTATTGCCCACCCCAGAATACGCAGGGCAGCCTGAGTGTGATATCTCAGGGGTGGATTCTCCAGTAACATGGTTACTGGTACCATCCTGGGGTAAAAATCTCTTGTAATCCGCTGCCATGGTATGTAAGAAAGGGGTGGGTAGGGGAAGGAAGTAGGAAAGGGATAGGGGGAGGGGGAGGGGCGTCCGGAACCTACAGCTCACCATGCGAAACGCGATATCGCTTAACACCGGTTCTCTGCCGAGGTGTGGTATTTCCCGGTTCGAGCGGCCCAATCGATCCTGAACAACCACGTGTGTTCGTACTGCTTGCTCTACCACTTACAAAATAATAAAAAATTAAATTAGGAAAGCAATGGACTGGTGATGAGAAGACTTTCCAAGTTATTATATTATGTGTAACTGACTGCATATTAGTTTATGATTTAAGCACATGATTGTTATTATATTGCTTCATCAACAAGTCCAGGAATATATTGTGTACCAGGAATTAATTATGAAATGATTTTGATGAAATAATTGTATTGATATTGATTTATTTGGAATATAATATAAAGATAACAGAAGTATTCGAAGGTTTTAGTGGTATAATAGACAAGCAATGAAGAAAATTAATATTGTAAATGATTAACAAATGTTTATTCTGTGATTAATAAATTATTCAAAAGTGTTTTGTTACCTGAAATAAAAATTTTATGATTTTCAAGTGTTGTGTACATGCAATTTTAGTCTCATCTCATTCGGTTTGAAATGTCAGGAGTTATTATTGAGAAATAATTATACACTGAAAAATATATGAAGTACCTATATGTACATGAATTGATTATAGCTAAAATCTATCTCTATCCCATAAGAATATAAATAAAAAAAAACCGTATTAAAATCGGGCTACCCGTTAAGGAGCTATTGCTCCTTAACCGATCGCCCGATTTTAGTGCAGACGCGTTACGCCATATCTTCGTAGGGAGAAAAAAAGTAACTATAACATAGTATGTACATAGGTACATTAGCCGTGTCTGCAGAGCGTCGGTGAACGACGTTATACTTACACTGAATTTTCAATCGTACCGAATCAGGGGTTCGATACAGTTATATATCTATTATGTACGTATCTTTGCAAAACAGATGTTATGTAGACCTAATTCCCTGCCATATTTTTCGTGCTTTATTAATAATCACCCACTAGTAATCCGAACTGCTCCAAATATGGCGACATTTAGCGCCTACGGCGGCGAAATAAAATAGCCCGAAGAATAGCCCGAGTTAGGAAGGAACCATTTTCTTTTATGGGATGGGGTATCTGTATGTTTTGTATTTATTATATTATATTATCTGTGATTTTAGTAAAGATTAGATTCAAATATTTAAAATGTAAAAAAAAAGGTTCAAATGGTTTATCTGGATATCCTGCAAAACTACAAATCCTAAAGAAAAAAGCCTTTGCACTTTTGTATTTGCACTTTTTATACAGAACCTATTTATGTGAAAAACCTACAGCGCCAACACCTTGATTTTTATATTTTTATCTTTTTAAGAATCAAACTACTTTATAATTTTTATTTTATAAAATATTTATGTTCTTACCCTATTTTACTTACATCATCTTGTAATAAATAATGTATATATTTGGAGAAGGATTAAGATCATAGTTATAGTATAAAAATAGTAAATAACGCATTATTTTATAAGATATTTGTTAACTAACTCACTAGTTAACCTTACAACTTGTAAAGGTGAACAATTCTGTCATATCTGGTTTTTGCCTAACCTTAATCGTTTACGCTGCAGTGAAAGCATTTTTCATTGCTGCTCCGCCCTTACTGGTCGTTGTATAACCTAGCATAATATATAGCATTCAAGGATAATATGCCTTTCTAACAGTGAAATCTTTTTTAAATTTAGAACAACAGAACCGGAGATTACCCCAAACAAATAAAAATACAAACCTTACCTCTTTATAATATTAGTATAGATATTGCTGAATGACTGTTTACATTACATTATTGTATATATATACAATTTCATTATTATGATAAGTATATTGTATGATGACGCAGGACACAATACGGATTATAGGATTAATAGACAGCGTCAATAGTGACATTTAAGCAGAAGGTTCGTCATAGATTTTGAGTTCTATTTTAAACTATATTCAGCGGAAATTCATTGCCACAATGCATATTTTTAGAATAAAGCTTGTACAACTGGAAAATCAAGATATTTGAATAATTTACTTTATTTCATTTCATTTTTTGTTTGAAAGTACATTATTAAAACGTACAATTTAGGTGATATAAATGCGAAAGTAACTCAGTCTGTTTTGTCTACCGTTTTTCACGCCAAAAGTCTAGACTCGGAGAAAGGATATAGGCTACTTTTTAATACAAAAAAAAGTTGTATGGAATTTTAAAGCTAGAAGCTTGAATATTATGAAAAATAGATATGATATTGAAAGTTTGTAAAAATTTTAATTATAAAATAGGGAATGAAAATGATTAATTTCCATACAAATTCATAATTTTTGAAGTTAATGCGATGAAACTTTTATTCTGTGCCGTTTTTAAATAATTGTTTTAATTTTATTAGATGCTATTACGTTAAGTATTGTAATAAGCTCTTTGCAATGTTCCGTCGTGAATATATTAAGTTATATTTTAATTTTATTATATCAAAATGATATTTTAAAAGAAATTGTATACATGAACCACACTCGATTCACGCGCGAGAGTGAGTACATGAAAATAAAATAGCTAAAAACAGTCAGTCACGGTTGTGCGCTCGTGCTTCTCCGCGATCAAATCCCGCTCGTGATCGCGCCTGAAAGATAATGCTGTGTAAAAGCAGTCATTCCCGTATGCACCATTTGAAATGCTTTGATGTGGGATTCTCTTCCCCTGAAGGTGTGTTTGACATACATTTTACTACTCCATGAAACAAAGGGAGCACCCGGAATTAAATTTTTATATAACAGTCCGTAAGTAAATGTGACGTTAACGTGAATGCTTCGTATGACGCACATACCAGCCCTCGTTTGTTTACAGTTTGTTGTATAAAAGCTTAATTCCTTTATGACGTGAAAATATATATAATATTACTTATCAATGTAGGTTTTTCGAAATTAATTTCAGAATTTCCATATGATATTACTTCTAGGTGTTTTGTTTTTTTTTAATATCGTAATATACAACATTTTATATTTCGTAATTCTCCATTTACACAATACTGATGCCATCAAAATTAATAATACCACGTATTGGAGACGTAAAACTTACCTTGTATATAAAAACTAAAATGGGTGAAATTTCGTTAACAACCCAATTATAGGAGGTCGCCCCCTGCCATTTAGGATACTAAATGTAGCAAGCGAAACGTCATGTCAGGTGTTTCGATCACCACAACATCGACCGTCGACAATGCCTTCGCCAAGGCCGATGCATGTGTATGTATACTCTGATAGACATCATAGTTAATTAGATCGCTCTAACAGGTGGAACAGAAAAGCGTAGTCACGCGATGTCACCATCCGAGAAGAGGATTGTGGCGTACCACGAGTCTGGGCACGCGCTCGTCGGCTGGTTGCTTGAGCACACGGACGCGCTGTTGAAGGTCACCATCGTGCCGCGCACCAACATGGCGCTCGGGTTCGCTCAGTATACCACGTCCGACCAGAAGCTATATTCTAAAGAAGAGGTGGGTTAGATAATGTTCACATTATACTGACTAACTGTGCCTTGGTGCGATTTTACCCGCGGGAAATTTATAGCCTTTATGTTATTCTGATGTAGAAAATATATTATTGTAATGAATAAAGTAAAAGTAAATTTGTAATAGGGCTTATTCTTGTGTTAAACTAAACTGGAGAGCATCTTTTAATTTAGCCTTCATTTAATAACTGCATAACTCAGACTTGGAAGAATCCACAAATACCTGATAGTCATTTTTATGATTATGTTATAGGTTCCTTCTTTATTAATTAATTAATTTTTGTGTACTTTCACCATGCAATGCCTATTAGTCTGTCTAGTTCGTTTTCATTACTATTTGAGTCAAAAGACACTAATTTACCTAGGTACATAGAAAAATATATGATAGTTTATTAGATTTCATTCTGTAAGTTACCTATGTAACATTTTTTTCTAGGTCTGCAGCATTTGCATTGAAAAGAACTATGTCATCTACGAATCCTAAATGTGTGAATTTCGAATTCACAATTTTTTTAACAAGTATTTCTTTTAATCATTTGTTTTTATCAGTTCTCTGGTACCCACACACAAGTTTTGCTTGGCAAAGCCAAGCCAACTAGATGGTGCTGTGAGAATTTATATATTTTTTTTAGTTATTCGACCGTATGTGCATGGCGCTGGGTGGTCGGGCTGCGGAGGCGATCACATTCAATTCTATCACCAGCGGGGCACAGAACGATCTGGAGAAAGTTACCAAGATTGCCTATGCTCAGGTCGCTATTATTTCATATATATTTTGTTCTTAACTGGAAACATATCGTATATTGTGGCAGAGGGCAGCAATATCTAGTGTCACTACATCACATATGTGATGATTCTTTATAACTATACATGAATATTTACGTACATTTTAAAAATATTTAATTTTGTTCAATATTATGTAAAAAAAAATACTAATTGAGTGTTCTTGTGTGTTCTCTCAACTGAGTTCTTCCGATGGTCGTATAATAATATCATGTAAACATTTATATTATTACATAAATATGAATATTATTCAGCGGGTATACTCGTAAAATATTAATTGATTTGAACTTAAAATTATTTAATATATTAATTTTACAAAACTTTTAGCATAAACCATAATATGTAAAGTTGTAATAGCGATCTATTTGTTTGTTATGTTAATTAGAAGTGCTTATATTTGTATTTGATATTCAGGTACGCGTGTACGGCATGTCGCCGACGGTCGGCCTCGTATCCTTCCCTGATTTGAAGGAACGCGGCAAGAGTCCGTTCAGCAAAACACTGAAGAACCTCATCGATCTAGAGTCAAGGAAACTGATCGCCAGCGCGTATTACCGCACCGAAAACATTCTCAAAACCAATCAGGACAAACTGAGAGCTGTGAGTTCATATTTAATTTGTTTTTTTTTTCAAAATCCTGACAAATCCTGTAATCCTGTAAAGGGTACACGAACCCGAATTCTGTCCGGCTTGAAATCAGGAAACAATAATTTCCATGAATCTGTAATAGTAAATGGAATTAAATTTGGGCGGCGGTAATCACTTATCATCAAGAGACCACGAGATCGTTTATGCTATTAAAAAATATTGAAACACTTATATTTAGTGTATATAATCGCACAGTTTGTATGTTAGTTTTAATATTCCACTTTACTTCTACTTTAAACTTGTTCAGTTTCATGAATATATGACTTTCGGATTTGTATGCTCTTTCCGAAATATACATTTGACGGTCTTGGTGGTCTAACGGGTTAGCAGAGCCTTATTTTCGATGTTAGTGGGTACGATTCCTCGCTTGGCACAAACATTCGTATTCATTAGTATAATTGTATTTGTCAGGGTATTTTCTATGATTATTACGTATTTATGTCTAGTAATATAATGCAAGCTCTGCTTAACTTGGAACTAGAGGGCGCTGTGGGAATTGTCCAATGTTAATATTATTATATAAATATCTTTCATTAATGTCTACATTTCATTAATAAATAATGGTAATGCTAATTTTTATAGATTTTAATAAAACGTTACATTGCAGCTTGCAGAAGAGTTATTGAAAAGAGAAACCCTCAATTTTCAACAAGTGCAGGATATATTGGGCCCACCGCCATTCCCAAGGAAGAAGTTTATAGACCCTGTGGAGTTTGAGAACAGTTTAAGGAATATGGAGAAAGATGCGACAGTAGAAGATAGCACACCGATCGGGTCACCGTCGGCCAAGCCAGACTCGCAACCGGGCGCACAGTTTGTGTGAATGTAACATTCATTCGTTCATAAGTTATGAGCCGTGCTCTTGTAATTTTTTCCATCAATTCCTTTAGTTGTTCCTGTCGTAGTTGATACGACTCCAATTTTTCTTTGATATAGCAATAGAATGTAACAAACTGTACGCATAATAACCAATTTAGAGCAAGCGTTCAGAATTAGAGACAATGTATTACATATATTATGCAATTACTAGCGAAACACGCACTGTAGCTCAGTAATTCAAATATGGCAGATTAAAAAAAATAAACCAATGAAATTGGTAGCATTAAACTCTTCAGGAACCCGCTCTGCGCCGCATCTTTCTGTATTGTCTTGCGCTATTACAAAACATTGTCTTTCGATGTTTTTCTCTTCGCTGTAAATACATTGTAGTAATAAATCTAATCCTAAATAAATTTATGAAGCTGTTGATGTTTCTTATTAACTTATATTAAAGTTTTTACCATAGAGTAAAATATAAAACATATACATTTTTTGTTGTTGTTAGTCTTTATTATATTTATGATTATAAATACATATGATGCTATAGAATATAATTTGTTGTAAATGTATTTCTACATGTACCAAGATACTGTCGTAAATAAAATAATCATGTAAATGTTGTAGATAAATATAGTATTTTTTAATATGTAACAGTTTTTATTCATATATATTTTCTTATCATGTTTTTTTACCAGTATAAAACGAAATCGCGTTCTGCACATTTAGTATTTTTTCAGCGACGCATAATATATCCTTACGTGAATAGCATTCAATCCGTGTGAAGCTCGACCGTGCCTTTTTCACGTCAAATTATTTATGTTACGCCTCTCTCGAATTTTCAAGGTAACCTACTTGAAAGAATTAAAGTAAATTTTAATTAATTTAAAAGCAATTTCGAATATTATTTCTTTAAAGAGATAACATGTTTCTTTATGTTTTTAATTTTAGTTTAATGTATATATACACAGATCACCAAATACCACTAATTCACAATAGTAAAATATTAATATATACACTTTTTCTATGGTATGGCAAAGATTCCGACGGTTCTTAAATATTATGAGATTTTCATTGTACCCCTTAAACGCTACCATTCCAGAGGACTTGGTAGCTGAAATAGTGGACCTATTAGTGCCCCTATCGTATATGTTGTATTGAGGCTAATGGTTTTTACTGTCCCCGTCGGTGGTAGAAATAATTTGTATATTCGAGAAACTAGATTTTTATAAGTTTCAAATAAGAAAGTAATTAAGGTAGGCTTTAAGCAACAATTAGGGTTATCCCACACACGCACACAAAGAGAAACACAAATTCCTGTTTAGGGAAACTTTATTGACAATCAAAGGGTAAGACACACGGAGCGAACAGCGATTCTTGACATTAGTAGATAGGTATACCAAGAATTACACATTAATTCATATTATATACTACTATATTATTCTAAATGTATTTTTAATATCTACTTACGTCAACACAGGACTACTTGAATATTAGTATCAAACAAATCGCAGTCTTTAAAATTTAATTAAACATTATAAGTCGTAAAGGGAAGTTTACTCCCAAATTTTATGCTAATAAAAAATTTAAATTCGAAGATAATAAGTCAATACGCCTGCGTTCCGCGGTGGTCGAATTTAGAAGCTCGTACATTATATATACAGGGAGTGTTACATTATCAAAGCAAGGGTTCAAATAAATTAGAAGCTAGGAAAGAAAGTATACACGAACGATGTTCGAGGTGATTTACTAAAGTATTTATATACTCATGATGATGTTTAAAAATTTACAGTATCTGTCACCTGTAATATTTTAGGCTATATAATATATTTTAAAACAAAATATTATAATTATACGGCAGTATTTTCATAATGTGGCTGCGATTCAATGGATATGAAGTATATTGATACTTGATGACGTAATACTCCCCCGTGGTGCTTTGTCACCTATATACAGTCGCTAACTACTTGGTACCATCAAAGCGTCCTTTTTTAAATCGATAGTTTGACTCGTTTTGGCCAATCATTATATATATATATATCGAATATAATATTACATAATTTTATGTATTGATTTTTAAATAGTTTAATACATATATAGGAATTCTTATTTCCATCCAAAGGTTATGTGAGAGATATTTTTTATCAATAAGGCCACCCGTTAAGTTTGACTCGCCACAAAACAATTACACGTAACAAATAACGGGTATTTTTTTATTTTAAATGTAATCAAATCCTTTGGATGGAACAGTAATTGTACCTATCTATATATACATAATTCGAACCATTTTGAGATAACAGAGCATACTCTGATCACAAGATCTATATTTCTGTAGTGAAGCTGTGAATGACTATATACTCTATATATTCTCGTGCCTGGTACAATTTCATAGGCGTATACAAAGGGCTAAGCAAATATGTCGAAGAACAGTAATTGCCATTTAGTGAAAAAAAATAAAAAAAAAGAAGATATTAAAAAAAACAACATTTATTTTAAAAGAACTTTTAAGTACGTTTACATTTTCTAAAAGCGATAATTTTTTTTTAATTCATGTAACTGTCTTGCGGGTCATTGTGGCCATGTTAACATTTTTAGTTACTAAGTTTTGAAATATTGCTATAACTTGCAAGATAGTAAATGATATTTGTAAACGAATAAAAAAACCGTAATATAGACATGTGTAATATATTCTTATTAGAGATAACATCAAACAAAATATTAATAAAAATCGAAATTGTCAACATGGCCGCATAATATATTGCATCATAAAACGTACATGTATGTAATATATATGACATTATGACCGAAAGCAGGAAAAAGAATTAGAGCGAGTTTAACAAATAAAAAAAGAACGCGCCCAAGCAGTAAGTTTTATCGTCAATTTCTGATCAAAGTTCCAGTTATTATTAATGTTATTACCTACTAATAGACAGTGTTAATGCATGTTCTATTATTCGACACTTGCATGTAGTACTTAAAAATATTTACCAACAAAATATCAATTATGTTAGTTTGCCTCTCGCAGCTTAATTACAACTTAAACAATAAGAAAATTGTTACGCTACCATTGCGAGATTGGAATATGATTTCACGTTACATTTTTTTAAAATAAATAATTAACAAGAATAGGCGAAACCTTATTCGTACTTTGAAAGTACTAAGACTAGTTGTGAAATACGTTTAGAGTGTTTCTTGTGATGAATGACTGTTTAGCGAAAAGTGATTACGTAATGCTATTGCAATGGTTTCCGATTTTACGAAGATTCAAGCAGACTAAGTAATTTTGTTTGCGTTTCTAGTTGCATTAATCTTTAACTTCGATTATGTATGGAATATTTCACATAGTTGAAACGATTGCGTTGTTATTCTGGAGGACTAAGATACCTATGTTTTCTGTAATTTTATTTTGTTCCTTACTACAACCGAAATACAAGTTAGAAGGCAAGCTGCTTGATGGCTGTAATATGTGAGATAGAAGTGCCCAAGCAGACGAATCTGTAATCAAGATCTGATAATGCTACAGTGAGCAACACTGTCGTATTGACAACTTAACGAAATGTGATTTATTTATATTTTCAGATAATAATGTTTTCCGATATACAAGATTGTCGTGGATTTCGGTTATAATTAGTATATAAGCGGTTCTATCCCGTGCATCAATATAGTTACAGTAATCTAATATAGAATACTATAATGTTACCGACATCATCATTGTTAAGTGGAGAGGTCTAGATTATACAAAACAGGAATTACAAAATTACTGAAGCAAAGGCAAGGACGTATAAGATTAAATGGTTAAATTAGAGGTTTAGATGAAGAAATAATTAATAATATTACAAGAAAATACGAGTTCAGACAAAAAACTACAGTCTGAACTTCCTGAAATATCTTGAGGTAAAGAACCGGTTTTCATGTAATGAAGTGTATCTAATGTTATGCAAATATAGGGTATCAAAAGTGAAATTAACAAAATCAAAATATTACTATTATAAAAGAAGTTTACCTAGATTTTTTTCAATCCATGATGAATAATAGAACAATAATCAATTACTAGTTTCATTTCACTAAGAACTGAATTTAGTTTTATGTTACAATCGTTGAAAGTGTGTTGCGGTCTTTACAATGTGGTCTACTATTGATTTAGTAATAAAACAGACCAAGGTTAGAGAACAAAAGCAGTGTATTGACTCCCTTAAAATGATTTCATTAACTCTTTCTCGCACATTTGAATAGTGGTGTGCACCGGACACGAATATCGATTCCATTATTTATTTCATGATTAAATCATTAAGATTTTAATTTACACTTGTAGAATATTTTTAACCCAATATTACACATAGGTGTCCAATTATGTTGTCATACAATTAAAAGTAGTGTCAATACCCAAAATTTTGGAAAAATAAGTCGTGAGGAACCATTTTTTTGTAAAACCGGAGCAAACCACTACTTATTAACCTATCCTATCTAAGACTCAATAGAGTACATATATACATTCTCATTCCAACCTAAACTATAACAGGCGGAGAATGGATGAGCGTGGCGAGTGCAATTATGTCATTAATTCGTAAATTATATCATATCTGCCATTTACAGGCGCGAAAACATTGTGTTATGGAAAATTATGTTTACAAATTTTTAATCAATCCATTATTTGAGTGCCAAATAATGGACTAACTAACCCCCTATTTGAGATTTGTTTGTTAATATTAGACGCACGAGTCTATCGTGCGCCTAATATCGAGAAACAAATATCTCACCACTTTTGTGTCTGATCCGATCTTACCTTATTTTAATACTATAACTAAAAGATACACTATAAAATGATATTTCTAAAGTAACTTTGTTGTGTATTTAAGATATTCTTCCACATTTAAAACGTACTTTAGAGCAAACTGCATGTATATGTACATTACATCTGCTTCAACTCTAAATCAATTATTATATTAAAATCACATGTGGTAAGCCACATTACAAGCGTGTCACATGGGCTGTACTTTATATGAATAAATATTGGTTATACCTACTTATAACAGTTGCACTCGCCGCGTCCGCTGCTATAATTTAGATAATCCTTCAGATATATCTGACAGAGGAACGTAACAACTAAATTTGGCTGCACGAGCTTGCCTATCCATATATCAATATTAACTTATTATGCGTTAAATTTTATTAAAAACAAGTTGACATTTTAAACCTAATTGTAATATCTGCATGGAACTATCTCCATAATATATATGATGTATACATATTTCAAATGGTACGACTGCATATGTTTATCATAAGACATTATGCAAGAAGTAGCATACATTTTCACAATCCTTGTATTTATTATAATTTTAATATAATTATTTTAATAAGCGTTTAGCACTCGTACACGAACTTAATTCGTGTACTAATATTTTCTAATGGTTTCAATTATGTAATTTACATATTTAAATGGTTCCCAAACATTGATATAAATAAAGTACATGTATACATTACTTGATTAATCTTAAAAATTCAGTGAAATTTAATTTGATTTTACAAGAGTAATATGATTTTTGTATTACGTAACAAATAGTGTCCTGACGTTAGTAGACAATACACATATAC